AAGGGGGGGGAGGAGGCGGCTATAAATATACTTATGTTCTGCTGGTTGACTAATAATGCTATTGCATGGTTCCATATTTGTCTCCCTATGATTTCAGAAAATCATATTCTTGAGTTGTAAATACAAAGTGATCTTTTTTCTAGCCAAGACCACTTTAGCCTGACTCTTTCCAGCTCACACATTGCCATCAATATTGAAAGTTCTGTAAGTTAAATTAGACTTTTTTGGCAACTGAAATACGCCCCCCCACCACCACACACACACACACACCCCTGCACCCCTTCAGTGTGTTTCCCTGAGTGTAACAATTTGAAACTTAATAAACAATTCTGTTGATGATGCCAAAGAAAGAATGGTATTCACAGCTTCTTCTACATTAGCTGTGTTGACTTGATGGTACCTACAGAAGGAAAACACTCAGTGACAGGTTTATTTTTTACAGATTGAAAAATGCAAAGTAATGGCATCCAAGAAAAAGCCCCTCTGGCTTGAGTTTAAATGTGCAGATCCCACAGCTTTGTCAAATGAAACTATAGGCATTATCTTCAAACATGGAGATGACCTCCGCCAGGACATGCTTATTTTGCAGGTATGATTATTAGACTATTTGTTTTATAATCTAAAAACAATACTTTACTCCTATAACTCTTTTAATACCTTTTTCTTCTTAAACTCTATTGTGGTGGGACCGTAGCCCTAGTTAGAATTAGGCCCTCTTTTGTCTTACTGGTATTTTGTGTCTCCTGATGTGTGCCTTGTGTACTTGGGCTATGCATTAGGATCTGACACCTTTGGTGCATCCACATGAGCGCATACATGTGTCTTGCAGCATCTTAAAGCCAAGATGCCTTAAGATCCTTTCAAGAATTCTCCTGGGTGCCATGCAGTGTTTGGTCTGCAAACTTGATTCATAAGATAAACCCAGAGACATCAAATGAGAATCCACAATGTTAAAAACATTCTGCCCTATTGTGGTCTTTCTGAGTTCTTTGCAACAGGAAAATTTCTCTCTTTTTCTGTACTTCAAAAACAAGTGAAACTAAGCTGGAATTTTCCAGGGGGTGCATTGCATCTAAGAGGGGGTGCCTTGAATCTAGAAAGATGGGGAACTACTGGGCTATAAAGTGATACAAAAGCAATGATGATTAAGAACTGTGAACATACCTGGCATTTTTATGATTAGATTCTACGAATCATGGAGTCCATTTGGGAAGCAGAATCCTTGGACCTGTGTTTGCTACCATATGGATGCATTTCTACTGGAAACAAAATAGGTATGGTGCATTTGATGAGTAGAAATTATTCCAGAGTATGTGAGGTTTATATTTTGTGTGTGTGTGTGATGGCTCCAGGGTCAGTTGGACCTCTGAATCCTTTCCCAAGCCCCCTGTGTGCACCCCTTTTGAAAGACAGGCCTAGTGTTTGCATTTCTGAGTGCTCTTATCATGTACAGCAAAATCCCTGTTATCTGGCATTCTACAAGCTGGAATACTCTACAAACTGGAATTTCTGACCGGCTGGGGGGAGGGGGCAAGGAAAGCTTGTACGCAGTGGCAGCCACCGCCACCCACCACCCTGTGCTGTCACTGCTCTGTGAGCAGCCACCGCCACCCCTTCCCCCCCGCTCTACGTTATCTGCCTCAGATACATTTTTACATAACCAGCACCCAACGTTCCCTACTCATGCCAGATGATAGGGATTTTACTGTAGTTAGGCTGTATCCACAGTCTTACACTTTTACCAACCATGTGTCTTCCTTTGGTCCAATTAGATCTGGCTCCTGTTCTAGATTTCTCTTTGGGAAACTATAGTGGGTATGAAAAAGCGGTGAAATCAGTCAGTTTCTTCAAAATAAAATAATGTTTTATTGCTAGAAATGGAGCAGTCAGAGGCATGGTTTACAGTAACAAAAGGGATCTCATGCATGGCATTTGCCTGATATTTTTCACGTTTCTGAAGAAAGGCCTCACTTATCCCAGGACCCCTAGCTCGTCCTGGTACTGTATCCATCAGTCTATACATTGCCTTTCCCTGTCCCTTTAAATCCAAAATTCCATTTTTCTCTATGTCTACCTGCTGCCTTATCAGGCTTAAGCCAAAAGGATTCTGTGCCTATCTTGGACAAAGATAAAATTTCAAAGGTTTTGTTGCCAGTGAGAGGTAGTTAGCTGTGTTAGTCTGAAGTCAGGCAGGAAGCACGGTAGATTTGCACCTTGTGGGGCACATCTGCATGTGCAGTTAATGTGCCTGAATTTTCTGTGCAGAAAATTCAGGTTCATCCATGCGTTCCTGGGCATGCATCTGAACATGGACTGAATAGTGGGAACTGTCCTGCCCTGCTCTGCCCCCCTGCAGCAGCCAGGGCTAACAGGGGGTATGGGGGGTTAGTTCTGATCTCCATGGGGTTGGGGGAGCTGTCCTGGCTCTGGGGGCAGCTGCCTGCCAGCCCTGCAGCAATCAGGGCCAGCCCCTATTACCATTAGGTGTGGGGAACTTTTCCAGCTTCAGGACAGCTGTCTCCCAGCCACATGGAGATCAGGACTCGTCCTGACCTCTGCAGGGTGGGAAGCTGCCCCACTTGCAGAGCAGCTGCCTCCAAGCCATGTGGAGATTGGGACCTGTCCCAGTCTCCGTAGGGCATGGAGAACTGTCCCAGCTGCAGGGCAGCTGCCTCCCAGCTGTGTGGTGGAGAGAGCCATTGTGATCTCCATATGGCAGGGAGGCAGCTGCCTTTCAGCCAGAACAGTTCTCACTGTCCCACAGAGATCATCGGGGCTTAGCCAGGCAGCAGTAGCCCCCTGCTGCCTGGGCTGACTGAGAGCAAATTGCTCCACGTCAGGGTCTACATTTGCAGTCCGGCACATTAGTTAATGTGTCATTTTTCTAGTACAGTATAACCTCATAAATCCGGCATGCTTAGGACCAAGCACCTGCTGGAAACTTGAAAATTCTCGATTTTTGAAACTTGAGTGGCGACTGGTCGTGGAGCGTGGGGTAGCAGTGGCTGCATGTGGAGCGGAGTGGTGGATGGTGTGGCACCCGCCGCGTGCAAGTTTCCCCCTCCGTGTCTGGAGGGCTGGGAGGAATGGCAGCTGGTCCCAGAGAGTGGCAGCACAGGGTGGTGGATGACGGCAGCAGCTGCCATGTGCAAGCTTCCACCTCTGCATTCAGTAGTAGTGTATTTTTAAAGAGTTCTGGATTTTTGATATCTGAATTTATTAGGATATACGATACCTGTATGTATTGGTACTAGCAGACAACACATTAGCCTAATTTAAAGCACAGTAATTGATGTGCTTGTGTAGAAGGTGACGCTTTATTGTGCATTAGATTAGCTTAATGCACAGTACAGTGATTCGTATAGACACACACATAGACTAACTAAATTGGAGATGCATAGCATAAGCTTTCGTGGGCAGTAGCTTACTGCTGTGAAGGGACCCTGCCATAGGGACCTTTCACAGCATCTGATGAAGTAAGATGCTGCTCATGAAAGCTTATGCTATGCAACTCTGATTTAGTTAATCTGTAAGGTGCAATTCTACCCTGTCTTCTGCCTGTCTTTGTTGCCAGTACCATTAAGTTTTAAGGACTGCCTGAGGTATTATATGCCCTTAAAATGTTATTGGCATAGCTATGTTATTTAGCTAACCAACAGAGCCAGGCCAGCAGAAAGCCTAGTATAGAGACAATATTCTGACAGGAATTTTTTTTAGCATTAGTGTATTCTGTTTAGGGAGCTGGTTTAACCTGGTCTGTTAGAATAATTATTTTTAGTAGTATATGGTACGTCTCCACTAGAGGGTGTTGCTGGCATAGCTATATATCCATACAGCTGTACTGATGAACCTTTTGAGTGCAGTCAGGGCCTAAAGACACTGATTTCCTGCAGAGCTGTGAAAGCAGCTAGGACTGAGTTGCATGGATTGCATCCACATAGCAGGCTGCACAGTAGCAATCAAATAGGCAGATATCTTCAAAATTTGTATCAACTTGTTATTTCTCCCTTCCTTTCCTCCCGCTGCAACAAAAATGGTTTTATAGGTAGGAGGATATGATTACCAGTAGATTTAAGAGTTCTCTGGAAAGCTTTTCTGTAAAATATGAGGGATATGACTAGATTCAGTTGCAGTAGAAAGGCTTTAGCAATGTTCATTTTAGGTCACATGCATAAGTCATTCATGACATCATGGTTTCCAAGCAACATAGCAATTTTCAATTCATGCTGATAAAACACAGGGTGGTGTGACAAAGGGGTTTCCCTTTCTTGGTATAGCTAGATATTATGTTTTTAAAGAGAGAGAAAATAGTGTTACATTTCTATCAAAATGAAAAAGGAAATTTAAATTGACTTGTGAGTGAAATTGTTAGTATGATTCATGTATTTTACCATTATTGTAAATATGAAATGTTTTGAAATTTTATTCTCTCATTAGAGGCAATATATTAGAAAACATAATCCTGCTAGAAAAGTCGACACTGAATTTGCATATAAATTTATGTTTAAACAATCCAATTGCATCAAAATACCTGGGGAAAATAACTGCCAGTTTATACAAGGTCCTTGAGTTTAGCTTATAAACCATATTGTTCTCTCTTCTTTTATGGGTTCTTAATAACCTTCCTTTTTTAATTTCAAAGAAACGTATTGTCTTATAATTCATAGCTTTAAGGGGATTTTGTGTCTTATGGCAGATCTAAGAATTTAGCATCTCTTCAGCACCACAAAAAGGGGCGTGACTGATCAGATAAAAGCTTCTGCTCAGTATATTGAAAGAAGTCTCTGTTTAACTATTAACCTTCAATGCGTGGCTCTTTGTACTGGTTTGGTGTCTCATGGAGCTGACGTATTCTTCAGAAATATTCATATGTGGGTTTCCCCAAAGCCCATTCTTCTCCCCTATTTTATTTAAATATGTATGAAGTTACAGGGAATGTTTGTAAGCCAGCACAGATTAATAATGGTCCAGCAGTATGGAGACAAAACCCACTTCTAAATTTCCTTAATGTCAAACTGAAACAAGTATTTTCTTGATTTCCCAACACCTGGCTGAAATCATCACCAGGATGGAGAGCAGCTGCCTGGGGAGAGCCAGAGGAGAGAGGAGCAGGAGCAGAGAAAAAAGAATTATATATATAAGGGCTTAGTCCATCTGGCTGTGTCTGTCCATAATGCTCTTGGGGGGCATGGCTCCAGCCAGTGCTGCATGCGGGGCGGATTGCCCATCAAAAATGATGGTGGGGATGGAGCGCTGCCATGGTGGAGGGGACGGAGCACCGCCGGCCTTGCCACACCTCCCCCCCCCACACACACCGGCCCTGCTCCTTGGAGGAAGTAGGGGCGCAGGGTGATGGCAGCACAGTGCTGGCCTCCTGCCCCCCACCCCCATCCCCACTGTCATTCTTGATGGGCAGTTCACCAGTTCTCTATATAACTGGGCTGAGATGCTGGAACCCAGGGGAGATTAGTTACAAACCTTGGCAGTTACAAATAGTGCACATGCAATATGAAATAGCCTTTAACCTCGCTTTTCCAAAATAATGTTATTTACAGAGGGAAGGAAGAGCACACAGAGCAAAAGAATTTCCTCCCAAGAGGAGGAATTATCAGGGAGCACGGGGGAGGAAAAACGTGATGTTTTATCCTTCTGAGGGCCTCAGGTGCTATGGTTACCTATGTAGTGTACGAGCTTGGATGGCTAGAAAGTTGCCTGTCTTGGGCATAACAGACAGGATGCTGACCACAGACATATGCTCTATGCTGCGAGGCACTTGAAACAGTGCAGGGAGCACAGCACCAGAGCCATCAGTTTTCATCCCAGGAATTGGGAAGGAGAAGAGAAATAACCCCAGGTTCCTTCCCCAGAGTTGTGTAAGAGAAGGGAAGAGGCAGGAAGAGTAGCAAATACTAGCACAGATTCCAGTTTACGAAGCAATTTCCTAATACTACAGTTGCAGCCATTTGTGGTGTGGAGTTGCATTAATACATAAAGACTGAGTTATGAAATGGCAACAGCTTAATGCAAATACCTCAACAGAATATAAGAGCTTCACGCAACCTTGTAGCTCATTAAAAAGTATGCAAGTAGCATTGGTTTAAATATGTAACTATACAGCTCTATTTTATTAAAGTACTTTAAGAGATGACATTTTTGTCTGTTGTAGGAATGATTGAAATTGTGAAGGATGCTACAACAATTGCTAAAATTCAGCAAAGTACAGTTGGCAACACAGGTGCATTTAAGGATGAAATACTAAACCAGTGGCTTAAAGAAAGATGTGTTATTGAAGAAAAGGTGAGTTTTTGACTCTTCCAGCTGGCACCAAAGTGACTTTTAAATAAGGTGTGTGCTCCTAAGTCACTTAGGAGCCTAGCATTGGTTTGCTTACTGAGTTTGGTCAAGTCCCTGGAGCTCTCGGCCCAGTGTTCAGCTCTGTGAAATGGGATAACAGTATATAGCTACTTCATGTGTATATTGTGTTAGGAGCAGAGCCTAAGAGGAATGCAGTGCAGGATCCTGTTCTTAATCTTTATACAGACCTTGAAAGAAGAACTGTAATACATGGGCTTTTCTTACTATTTTTTCATCGTTACATGTTAATAAAATAGACAGTGACCCTTGATGGGTTGAACCAAAAATAAAGATAACCGTTTAAGGGAATTACTGAAGGGGTGTTTAAATCTTAAGCACTAAAAAGTTTAACCTCCTTAAAACTTACGTTACGTACTAGTTTCAGGCAGCAGTGGAAAGATTTGTTTATTCTTGTGCTGGTTACTGCGTGGCAACCTTTGTACTTGGAATAGGAGACAGACACAATGACAACATTATGATTACAGAATCAGGTAAGTTTTTAGTTTTGTTTTGTTTTTTAAGAGTTATATACTGGTATTTACTGCTCTGTTCTATTAGAGGCATGTTTTAACTGATATTATGCATTACCTTCACCAACATGAGCAGAATTGTTTGACAGCTCAAGTCCATCTGTAACCTACAGATTGTAAATCATTTGAGTTTTGAGAACTTCCATAATGGAGATGCATTTAATAATACGAGTTTGTAACAAGCTTATAGAATCTCATGGAGACCTGTATTTTTTTCATCAGTAAAAACTAGAAGAAGTAAAACCAAATCTGTGACAAGTTTTGCACCCTATTCTGGCTTTGGGCACAGGAATACAAGTCTAATGAAGCTCAGTGGGGATTGGGTCTGAGGAAAAATTGAGTAATTAATTAAATGTTTTGGCTTCCAGCAGACAGATACTTCTATATCTTTATCAGAAGTCCCATTGAATTAGTGCACATTAGTGTATCCTTGCTATAGAAACATGTAAGATGGTTTATTAAAAAAAATCCAGAAGGTGTTTAGTCCTACTGTATTCCATTGGGATTTTGTTTAAGGGTATACAGTGTAGACACAAGTTTTTACAAAGTAACTTGTGATATTTATATTATAAGATGCAATGGTTCTGCTTGCTTATTAAAGGATGCCAAAGATAAGTTCAGTCAATAATATTTTAGTGAGAGGACCTGCTGATTGAATAAAAAAAACAAAACATGTCTGCTCTTGCATACTGGGGCTAGCATATAGTAAAGTAAACCCAAATTAATTTATTGACAATAGTTTTGTGAATGCTAATAGTCAGTACTGCTTGGTTGTTATTTCCCTAGACTAATCTTGAATTCTTTTTTTAAAGGCAATCTTTTTCACATTGACTTTGGCCATATTCTTGGGAATTACAAAAGTTTCCTTGGAATTAATAAGGAAAGAGTCCCTTTTGTGTTGACACCAGATTTTCTGTTTGTCATGGGCAGTTCTGGAAAGAAAACAAGTCAGCATTTCCATAAATTTCAGGTAAGAATCAATCTTTTGATGTAAATCAGTTGATTTAAGCAAAGTTTTATCTATTAATGGTGCCATAGTCTTCAACATCCAAGAGTCCCTAGAACTCTGATAATAGAAATTTGCTGAAATATAATAGTCTGGGTTATTTTAGACATAGCTGAGTGCTGAAATTTCTTACCCGGTTACAGGAACTAGAATTCCAAAGCATGTAAAAGGTTTTTGGCATTCCTTACTGTGCAGGAAAATTGAATGAGCAGCCTTGCTTTTCTTGACTGGGATTGCCCAATGGAGGCTGGGCATTCTTCAAATACTTGGGCCAGTCCTGGTCTGCATACCTACTTACCAGGTTCAAAGTAGCTTCTTCTGAATAGGAATGTGTTGTTCTATGGTAGTTTTGTGACATGAAGTCATTGAAGACTGAGTTCTACAAACTGCTGCCACTTTTAAAGTTAGGCTTTTTAAAGTAGCTAAGTATATCTTGATATAGGATTTTTTAGGAATAAACCCATACAGTCCTCCATTCTGAATCCAAAACAGCTCCAACACTGAAGCAATATCACTGTTTTAAGCAGTGCAGGATTCCAAGTGACACACAGATCTACCTTCACTGTAACGTGGCTGAACACATTTAAAAGCAAGTACTAGAAAGCCTGAGCCATCACATTTTCACTCCAATTATATGGCTGAGTGATTTTTGTTTCAGTATATCTTCCAGTAAGCTGAACCTTCCTATAACTGCAGTGAAATACTGGCATTAAGTACAGGCTTGAGTAGGCTTGAGATTTGTGTAACCAGTGTAAATGCTGCCACACCAGCTCAAAGCAGTGGCATCTATACAATTTGCTGCCTGCTTAGCTACCCACTGGGCCAGTTCCCAGACCTCATTGATGGACTGAGCCAGTGCGTACCAGCAACTGGACAATATCCCCTAAGGGCTGCTAATAACAAAGTGCAGATCAACATAAATTCTGGTGTGGGCCTTCAGCCCACAGTCTTTAAGCCTAGGAATTAAATTACTGCTAACTAGTTCAGATAAACATTTTGAGCTTTAAGGCCACCAGTCCAATTTTTACGAGTAGTCGTAACCAAATAAAAGGTACAAGTTAAGTTTATAGTTTCTTGATCTACAATCACATTTATATGAATGTGTCAAGTATGTATCTTTTTGACATGAGAGAGATGGATAAAGACTGATTAAAGTTTAACTGCAGTGTGCAGTTCTGCAGTATTATAGTCTGTTTCTAAATTGCTACTTTGGCAATGCTTATTTAAATGGGTTGTCTGTTTTAAATCAATAAAAAGAAAATTAAAATGCATTTCATGTGCCAAGAAAGCATCACATAAGATCTTTTCCTCTAGTCAGCTATATTCTTAGGGGGTTTTTTAAAGAAAAGACAGTAACTTTTCATTTTCAGTGAGCAAGATGCATCTTGGCCCTTTGTAAATAAGTGTGTTATTCATTGTGACTACTGACTGTCTTATAAAATATTAATACAGAAGTCTTATTATTGATCCTTATTGTTAACTTTTAACATTCTCTCTTACTAATTTGATGTTCAGACACTTATAGTATGTTATTCTTCAGATAAATTTTTGCTTTTAAATGATCTGATGTTTGTTCCTATTTAAAATAGTTGGATGAGACAAAAATCAGGCATTTAAGAAAAACCCTAGTCACAGGTCATATTGCAAATCTTAGAAGCAGTTAATCAGTAAAATACATAGGTACCTATTCTTCTTCTTAAATTATCCATGGCATGGCAAAACTCCTGATATAATATTTTCTTGATCATTCTATCAGAGCTTAGCCTAAGCTTTACTTTCCCTCCCCACCCTCCATATTTAATGGAATTCAGGTGCTAAAAGATATTAATTGTGTTTTGAAGCCTTTTTTTGCTGAAAGCATTATTGATACGCTGTGCCTTTACCACAAAGGTGCATTTCAGGACATCCAGGCTGGAACTGAGAAGAAGAATATTTTATTGCTCATAGAGGTGAATTTTCTGGTTACCTTGCATACTTCTTAAAGTTCCTTCGTTGTTCTTTATGTGCAATGTGGTAACAGTAATGGTACTATCTGCATTTTTCTTGTTCTCCAGCTTTTTGGCTGGGATCACGTAACACCTTTCCAGAAATATGGGGACTTCTTTAATATAGAATTTCAGAAGCTAAGATGCCAGCCTCTGTGAATCAGAGAGCTGTTCCTCCTTTAATTTTTGAAAACCCTGCAAATATCCACTTCCGGTTCTATTTCAAATTTCTATGGTCTGCAGCTTTTTGTCTGCCAAAGCGTTGCTTTTTACTTCACTAACATTTTTCCTTTGCAATACCTCCATTGCCTTTTGGCTTTATTTTTATTTTGATTACTAATTATCAGGATGGATTTGATTTAAATCAGTTTAAATTACGATTTAAATCGGGGGTTCTCAATCCCCAGGCTGCAGCCCAGGGCCAGGCTGTGGCAGTTTGGCTGCCGGTCCACAGCATGGTCAGTTGCCAGATGGGAAGTGGCTGCGGACTGACAAACTGTGGCCCCCCCAGAGCCAGGTGGAGAGGCCACGGCCCCTTTTGCAAGGCCCGTGGCAGCACAGAGTTTGGCCCACCCCCCCGTCCAGGGGTGGGGGTATCCTTACCCATCTTCCCGCTGGCAATTCCAGCTGCGGTCGGCTCTGACTGCTGGGCTGCGGTTTGCCAGGCTACAGCCACTTCTGGGCTGTGGGTCGCTGGGGCATGGCGTAAAAACTTTGGAAACCCCTGATTTAAATCACACTATAAATCATTGGTCAGAAAGCCTCGATAGAATCATTGTTTTCTATAAAAAGTGCGTTCGTGTTACTTGATATCCTTTATTCATTTAATTTCTTGAAACTTTGTACTTTTAGAGAGAGGTAAGGGCTTGACTGTGTGTACACATATTTACAGAGACAAGAGAGCCAATGGGTAGGTAATAAGATCTGTTCTGCATCATCTCCATATACTGCTGTTAACAAGGATGTTATCTCCGGAGATACAAATCCACAGTTTGAGAACTGAAACTAAACATCACAGAGATGCTTAATGGGATCTTCTAGACTGAGTTCCAAGTCCCATTGAGTAGAGTGGTTTTATTTAATTTTTACTAATCTGTAGAGGAGCCTCTGGGAACCTCATAAGATTGGGCTCCTAATATAGTCCATGGCCTGTTGTGACCTATTTATAAAACTTTTTGGAAAATGTTAAGTGAATATATTGTCTCAACTAATATGTAATTAAAAGTTATAATCCCTATTCCATAATGATATCTTTGAGCTTTAACCTACCTTAAATTAAAACTACCTTTATATAGGGTTTTTTTAAAGCATCTTAACAAATAAAATTAAAAACACAATTAAATAAAAAAAATCCAATTTAAATGTTAAAAAATCCTATTTTTTATTTTTTAAAATGTTGGTTTTTATCCACCAGCTAATTACTTTGCTACAGAGTTGATAATGCAGTATTATATTTTTCAAGTGCCACCTGAACACCCCTTGTAGTCAAATCTTGTATATGATTCTTAAGACAAGACGACAGGGAAAATATGCAACTCTTCATCCTTTGGAAGTGCACATTTGTAATGTTACTCAGTTGGGAAGAGAAGGTTTATATATGTAAATTTGGACAATGTACATTAGAAAGATGTCAAAAAATTTACAAGATTAATGCCTACAACAGGTTTGGGCCCTCAAAAATATCAGTTGCTCCTTCATTGTGTATATAAGGGTTTTTTATGTCTGTGCTTTCACTTCATTCAGTTTGGGTTGGGGGGTTTTTTGTTCTCTAAGGTCCTTTTATGGTCATTTTCTGTGGCAATGTTTTTCATACCTTTGATTACATACATGTGCTGTTGACTTCACCTCTCTCTGCCCCTCCTGCAAAGTAGAAATCTGTTTCCCTAGTGAGCATCTGTTCAAAACTCTGTTCAGTTCACTTACAAACAGTTAATTTTACAAATCATCTCAGAACCTTAAAACCTTAATATCCTTTGAGAGACCACGCTTGAGGTCTTATGAAGCCACTGTTTCATTTTTCCTCTCTTCTTGACACCAGCTGTGCCTAGTCTCCCTGGAAACAACTTTTTTTTATATGACTATGTATGTCATTTTTCTCTCATCTCCTTGGATAAGCTAATTAGCTTTCAGCTTTTGTGACAACATTTTCTCTTTCAAAGTTAATATAAAGAAGTAGAAAATCCTCCTTTCTGATGTTAAGGAGATATACTTGTACCTACAAGGTTAAGCTTAAATTATTTTTTTTTGTTACAAGCAAACTCAGCTCTGGTCAACATAACCCATGGTTCAACAGATAAGTTTGAGTGTAGTTTATTTGTTAAAGTGGAATATATTTCTGTCTGTCACTGGGGAATAAGAATTAAACCTGATTAAAAATGAACTTTGTGGCAGGGTTTTGATGGTACTTTGTAGGAAGCTACCTGGAACTATTTGTATTATTGAATGTTTTTTAAGGTATTTTAAATTAATTCATTTAAAATGTGCATAAGGCCTGATCTTAAAGAGAATCTAAATGGTTGGAGACTCACTTATTTGGATTTTTTTTTAATAACTGCAACTTTCTTAGGAAGTGCTTTATCTTTCCATTACTGAAATGTATTCTTTAGCTTAACTCTAGCATAATGATATTTTGCTTATAGGAAAGCTTCACTGTGTTGGTTCATTCAAATAGTTTTCAGAAGGTGTATTTCTAAAAATAAATGTGGTATAAATGTAATGTAAAATAATTGGATTCAGTGTATGCATTTGTTCCTTTCCATTAAATAATCTTTTCAGAAGTATTGTAAATTCTCTGGCCTATAGGAATTGTTTGTCCTTCTAAAGCTTCTAAATGAAGTGCAAACAGAGCGTATAGACAAGTGGTAAAGCAATTATCAAAATATGAACATTTTTTCCTCTGTTGACTTCAGTATGACAGTAGAATATAGAAATCCAACATTCCTTCAGTAAAAGAGGTGCAAAAGTGCTTAATACTCTAGCTGGTGAAAATAATAGTTATCTATCAGCTGGATAAACCTTCTTCAGAAGCTTGAGCCTGAAAAATGTTCTCCATTAAACAAGTAATCATCTTTGTAAAGTTTACAGGTAAATAAAAAATAAATAAACTTGCCCCCAAAGGTGCTTCTCTTCATTTTAAGAGAGGTGATGAATCATCTCCGCTTCTTTAGTTAGTGGCATTTATTATACATTAGGGAAATTAAACATGAGCTTTTTGTGAGGCAGAAGTTTTATGTTTCATTTTTTTTCTACAGGATTGTTACAAAAGGACCTTCAGATTTTACAATACCTCCCCAATTTACACCCCCAAGTCTGCAAGTGTGTGAAGTAGTGCTGAACCAGCAGATAGGGAGATTAGCTAAGTATTTCTGCTAAAATGAACCCTAGTATCTCAGGCTTATTTTAAGAATTAAGTATGGTTGATTTGGTGCTGAATAATTCAGATTTGAGCAAGCTGTTACAAATGAGCTTTCTTTCAGCCTGTTCAGTCAATAAAAGAGAAATTTTCTTCCTTTTTTCTAGGATGTTTGTGTGAAGGCTTATCTAGCTCTTCGACATCACACCAACCTGCTGATCATTCTGTTCTCCATGATGCTAATGACTGGAATGCCCCAGTTAACCAGCAAGGAAGATATTGAATATATCCGAGATGCACTGACAGTAGGTAAAAGCGAGGAAGATGCTAAAAAGTATTTCCTTGATCAGATTGAGGTTTGCAGAGATAAAGGCTGGACTGTACAATTTAACTGGTTTCTGCATCTTGTGCTTGGAATCAAACAAGGAGTAGAGAAGCATTCTGCCTAACACTTTCTTTAAAGTCATTCAAGATATGAATAGGAAATAAACAGTCTGTCTCCTTATTTGTAGTTTTCTAATAACAGAGCTGTTAAAATTGATGTTTAATTTGCTAATAGTTTAAATGGGCTCTCCTAAAAACTGCAAATTGGTTTAACCTAAGCTTCAAGAACGCCTGTCGTCTTATTGCAGAAGTGTGTGTGTGTGTGTCTGTATATGCACACACATATACATATATATATTAATACTGGAGTTGTGACAGTGTAGCACCCTGCATTCTGTTATGTAGCTGCTTTGCTAATGTGACCTGCAATTTTCCCATTTGCCTTTGTAATAACTTCAGTTACAGGTGAAGAAGGGGCTGGGGCAAGATGATAGCCTGGTAACTGAAGTGTGACCTGGGTTTTTTTTTTCCTTCTCCTTAATTACTCATGTTTGTCAGGCCCATCAAGAGAAGGAACATTATTTTTCAAGTGCATGATTACATAAGTGCAGCCCTGTAGGATGTTTATTTCTGCCTTGGGAGGATTTATTACCAAGGTTTCTTCACCCTCATTCATCTCCTTTACCTTTAACTCCACTTGTCTTCTGACTCTTTTTCAAACTTAAAGTTGCTCAACAGAAAATGACACTCCCTCTACTATCTAGGGAAAACTATGCATTATGGTTGTCTTAGCATCCTGAACCATGAAGGGCAGGGCTGGGTTGGCACTTCTTCAGAAAATCTTTGTTTTCAAGTTCCTGAGTTTGCTTCTATAATTTTTTTAAGTTTAAATGTTTCAACTTGGTGTTCTTCTAAATGCCTTATTCTTAATGGGGAACATCCACCATATTATATGGCAGATGGATGCTTCTGTTATTTTGTGGTTAAATTACTAAAAGTCTGCCTGTATAGTGAAAGCTTTACTAAAACAAGGTAATGAATGGTACTTCCTCATTCTAAAAATGAAATTCTTATCTGAGAACAGTTCACGTTTCACCAAATGTTGGAGAAGTCCAAAGGTTATTTATTCAGTGATGTATTTTGGGGTAAAACCTATTAGGAACTAAATATCATCATTGAAATTATGTATATTTTGTTATTTATGGTGTTTATTTTTTTAAACTTTTCAAACAATTGTTTATTCAAAAGTTATTTATAAAAGAAATGAAATTCCTTGTTTTTAGTTTAGCAGTATATTTAAATGAAATCTAAAGAGAGAAGAAAATATAACAGGCAAGTGCTGGGTCACTTTTAACTTTCTCTTTAGTAGGAAATCTGAAAATGATTGAGCCTTTTAACACACACAGAAAAGCAAAATATTGCATGAATTTTGCCTGGAGTTCAATGATTGCAGTGGTCTCCCTGCTGATCTGATTGACTTGCCAAAGAGAGAAATTGGCTTACATTATTGATTATTAGCACTTTTGCCTGTATAATTCCTTCTTTTGTTCCATTTTTACAGAGTCTGAATCAGCATTGGTCAAGTGAATTGCTATGTTTTATTATTATTTGCATCAATCATTTCACTGATCAGATTTTAACTGCTGCAAGTGAGCGTGCTCTTGAAGGATTTGTAATACATGTACTGTAACTGGTGTCTCAGTTACGAGACATATAGCCCATCTATTTTTTTAAATGTAGGCGCTTAATTAGTTGTTCTGCACAGAGATATTTTGATGTATATGGTAAAATTTAATAAGGAAATGTTAAAAGCTTAAATGTTATGAAATCAATTTTTGTTCTGCTGCAGTACCCCATACAGGACAGGTTTAAAATCATGCTGAGGTGTGAAATGTGAGAGTATTGTAATATGATGTTCCTGGATTTGTTCTTTGTAGTTTTGAAATTAATTGTCAAGTTGTATACATTTGATGATAAATCATGAATAAAAGGATTTTTTTTTCCAAAATAGACATGATTTATTTATTATTTCTCCAGTAATTCAGAAAGCACATCATTTCGTAAAATAATGTCATTCAAAGCCCTGCCCAAAGGAAATTTTTTGTTCTATATAGATGAACTCACTAGAATTAGTGGTGATAGTTTGAGAAATTTTAAATTTAAGAATTAAAAAATCCATAGCGTTAAGATTCTAGTTTTATGATTGGGTAGCCTAGAGGACAAACCCTTACCTTCTAGTGAAATTTCATAAACCTGTCCTGTTTTTTAAAACTACTTAGATTTAAATGGTGCTATGATATTAAAAGCAATCTATTTTTTAATATTAACAAACTGAAAGAGAAATATCTGATATCATTACAATTTCACCAGGTCAATGGCATTTATAAATAAACCTCTTTATGCCGGCAAAGGTCTATATAAGTCTATTCCAGGAAGTAGTTCATAGTTTTAGTGTTAAAATGAAAGCATTTTTATTAGAGCATAATAAGAGGACAAAAAACACCCAGACTAATTAAAGAAATATACAATATATCAACAGCATTTTAGGCTAGATCTGAGTAAAAGAATTCCCTAAAACTTAGAAAATCTATTTAAAGCAGGGCTCGACAAGCTTTTGCCATTGTGGGCTGCTGTTTGCAACCCAGCTCCCGCCAGGAGCCACAAATAGCCTCACCCTCCAGTGATTAGCAGATGCTGCAGAGACAATAGATAAACCAAGACAGATGGTAGGATACTGGGGATACCTCTGCTGCTGTGGCTGCAGAGTGCTGCTGTTTCTCTGAGCCAGTTCACAGTTTGATGATAAACTCTTCACAGACCAGATCCAGCCCACAGACTTTAGTTTGTTGATCTGATTTAGACTACCCAGACATGATAATGGTAAATGAGTGCACATCTGTATTATGCAGAAAAGACCTATTATTCCTATCTAGGATTCTCCCACATAATGGAGTTGGTGTCAATGGGACTATTTTGAACAAGTTAACTCTTGCCAGATCAGGCCTATTGCTTGTATTAAGCATCATGTACAATACAATATAAGCTGTTTGCAATGTTTCCATGTTGTATGAATTTGCAGACAATTACTTCCCACATCTTGAAAGCCATGATCCTTTCATCTAAATGTATGTTTGAGACTTAGTGGCTCGTAAAGAAGGAAAATCCAACTGTTGGGCTCATTGTGCAATAGTAGCCCCATCTACACAAGATGCTGACTGTTCAGTAGCCCATTGGCAACACATAGGGGGGTGCATGCGGGTGCACATGCACCCCCTGAAAGAAGCACTGCTGACACTGCCGGTGGCACCTGGGCAGTAGCCACTTGCCACGCCTCCCCTGCCCTTGCCACCAACACCCCCTGTGGCATCTGCGGGTGGTCACCAATTGCTGCTGGCTGAGTGGTCACTGACCACCAGTCACAGATTTCATAGACATTAGGGGCTGGAAGGGACCTCATGAGATTATTGGGTCCTGCCCCCCGCCATAGGCATGAAGTCAGCTAGGATCAAGTGACCCCGGCAAAAAATATATCCAACTGTTTTTTGAAAGAGTCCAGAGTAGGTGCTTGCACCACCTCTGGGGGAGTTTGTTCCAGACCCTGGACACATGCATCATAAAGAACTTTTTTCTTATGTTTAGTCTAAATCAGCCTTCCTGGAGTTTATGGCTGTTAGACCTTGTTATCCCTTGGGGAGGTATGGCAAACAGCTGTTCTCCCGGGTCCTGATGTACCCCTTTTATGTAACTGTAGGCTGCCACCAAGTCCTCCCTGAGCCTTCTCTTCTCCAGACTGAAGAGTCCCAAGTCCCTCAGCCTCTCCTTGTATGGCCTTCCCTCCAGGCCTTGGATCATACGTGTGGCTCTCCTCTGGACTCTCTCAAGCTTCTCCACATCCTTCCTGAGGAGGAGGGCCCAATATTGGATGCAGTACTCCAGCTGCAGTCTCACCACGGCCGAGTAAAGCGAGAGGATGACTTCCCTGGTTTTGCTTGAGATGCATCGGTGGATGCACACCAGAGTTTGGTTTGTTTTGCCGGCCACAGCATCACATTGGTGGCTCATATTCATTTTGTGGTCAATCAAGACCCCCAAGACCTTTTCGGTCGTGGTGCTAGCAAGCGTAGCCCTGCCGAGCCTGTAAGTAAGTTGAGGGTTCTTCCTATTGAGGTGAAGCACTTTACGCTTCTCCACATTGAAGGCCATCAGGTTTTGGTCAGCCCACCTTGAGAGCATGTCCAAATTAGCCTGTATCTCTAGCCTGTCCTGCGCCCTCCCCCATAATTTGGTATCATCCACAAAGTTGGCCAGTTCACATCTGACTCCCGAATCCAGATCGTTGATGATGTTAAAGAGTACGGGCTCAAGTACCAAGCCCTGAGGGACTTTATTGGTCACCCTGTGCCATGTTGATTTGCTTCCATCAACTAGTACTGAAGGGGCCAGCACTCACCACCCCTGTCCCCCCACTGCCGACACCGCTGCAGCTGCCTGTGGGTGCTCACTGCTGCCATGCCACTGCTGCTGCTTGTGGACAGTCGCCGTGCCCCCACAGCCTCCAGGGGATCATGTTGTTCATGCAGTAGCCCGTGACTACCACACAGTAACAAGGTATGGCAGGAAGCATGACGTGACACTACTGCACTGTAGTCACGAGCTACTACTCAGTCAGTGTCATGAAACAGCCATTCCTTAGCATGACTGGACAGCAACTCCAGTTACCCTGCAGTCATTTAGTGCTTGTTTAGTACTGAGTAACAACTGCTCAGTCAGCCTTTCGTGTAGATCCAGCCAGTGCGTGGTACTGGTACTAAGTTTACTCAAAGCTAAGATGAGTCTTTTTTCCCCCCCTCAAATCAGCAATGGAGTTGGGGAAAAGTGTCTTACTGAGGATTCAAGTAGCAGCCTGGGGCAGGTGTTGGCTCAGCTCTGGGTTTGGAGCTGAAGTGAGAGCTGAACTGCTGCCTGCCTTGGGCTGGAATGGCTCATTTGGCAGGGGAGAGGACACACAGCCAAGGGGAGTGTAAGGAAGACCACAGGGGGAGAGGGAAAACCTGCAGTCTGTCCCATCCCTGCACCCAGCAGCCTCTTCTCCACTTACCTTCTTCTCTGGCTCCAGTTCATCCTACCCAGACCCAGCCCTGCCAGGAACTGCTGCCACTTCTCCCTGGCCAAGCTGGAAGGGGCTAGGTGTGGCTGCCACTGACTGCCCTGATCCAGAGCAGAGCTGCAGCAGAAGGTAAGGGAGGGGGGTTGGCAGGGTAAGGAGCAAGGCATGGGGAGAGTACAGGGGGCACGTGGTGGGGAAGCGGTGAGGGACAGCAAATTTAAGCTGACCTTTCACTAATTAGATTCTATACATGGAAAATTTTTAACAGATTTATAATTGTCCATGTACAGAATCCAATTATAACCAATTTATAATTTTCCAAGTATATAATCTAATTATTGGAGGCTTGTCTTAAATTCGAAGTAATTTTGGCTTTGGGTAAATAAAGTACTTTTTTCTCTTGTGACTGCAGTACCCTTCTTCTGCAGCAATCATTTGATCTGCCTGCATGGGCAATGAACGCCACAAACCTGATCCCAGCTTCTGTCCATTCTGTTACTCCCAGGCTCTGAGTCTGGGCTTGTGGCCATCTAAGTTTAAGTTGTTTTGGGTTTACATGGCTGATTCTCCTGCTTCTTGCCAACGTTCTGCCTTCCTGCATAGCCACCCAGCTCGGCAAAAATAATTTTCTGTTTATCACTAACTCAAGGTAAAACATACAGTTTGTCTTCTGTGCCTTCTGTAATCCCAGCACACGCCAGAGATCAGACCTTCCGTTCTATTTACAGCTTATTGTTGGACTGTAAAACAAGACAATTCACCAATCCACTTTTCCCGTTCTTGTTAGAGTTTAACATTCTTTGTATTTACCTCAGTAATACCCTGATTTCCTTTGGAAGCTGTAGATTAACATGGTGTTCAACACTAGCAAAGTGAGGACTGAAAAAAGAAGGTAAAATAGCAAATTCCCTCTGCTGGCAGGAAACTCCTAAGAGACACCCTGGTTTTGTTGTTTGTTTTACTGGGTTTTGATTTTCCTTTCTTCTCAGTTGTAACCAGAAAGGGGAGATACTTATTTTTTTCCTCTGGTATGTAGTGTTATTGCTTAGTCATAATGAATACAGAGCACCTCCTATGTACAACTCCAAGACTTACGTGCCCTCTGTAACTTATCAGAGCTGAGCATCTCATAAATGTGAATGTATTTATCTCCCCAACACTCCTGCAAAATAATCACGTACTTTTATTCTTCTGTAGTAAAACTGAAGCCCTAAGAGAATTGGAGCTAGGTGCACAGGAGGACTTTGGCTGCTCTGTGTTTCATTGTCTTTAATTATCCTGTTCGGTCATGAAATCCACAGCCCCAACTTCCCCCTGCTGCCTGAGAGGATTGGACCTGCATCTCCCATACCCCAGGTGGGAGCCCACACCAGCAGACTCAGGGGTATGACTCTCAATCTTTCCTTTTAAAGCTGTTTTATTTGGAATGGAATTGACTTTACAGCCTTGTGTTATAGCCTTCACCCAGGAGGAAACCAACAAGTAAAGTGACCAATTATCCTGAGTTTGAATCTGTATCCCAGTGTCCCTTTGAAAAACTGGATTTTTGTCCCGAATTTGAAAGCTTGGTCCCATATGGGCCACTGCAAGCTTCTCAAACGTTCCTGTAGCAACCAAATGCAACAGCTATGCTGCCTGATTTGGGGCTCTGCACCCACTTGGCAGCAGGATGGGGGAAGCCTGAGACAGTTCCTGAACTACATACAGGATAGCAGTGTTAACACCTAAGCAAATCAGTTCTGGTTAACTGGCCCAGATATGGTGCCATGTAAATGCACCTATATTGCTTCCAGTTCAGCAGGTAGCCACAGCTGCCTTTACAGCCAGAAGCCAGTGCAATTCTAGAGCTAACTACCCTACCTGCAGTATGACACCCAGCAGGCCACAATAACCAGACCTGG